CTATTAAGGGGGTTCGAGGTTCTTATTAACAGTCTAGGAAGGTTTTAAAAGCACCTAGAATGTCCACTAATGTGGTTATCCGACAATTAACTATTTGGCTAAAATAATTTTAACTTAACTCGTCTTGTAAAATTGAACTATTTTGTAGTCGAAACTATTTTAAAAGGGAAAAAGAAAAATGTTGAAATACTATCTAAGTGAAATGTTTTGTAAGCTTATTCATTCACTTATTTATTTTTTAAGTCAAGTAAAGATGAAACACTAGATTAAGTGATTAATTCAAAATGGGTGTCTTTCGGGGATTTGAATTTTCGACCTTAAGATTAGCGGCAAATGTTAACAAGCACACAAACACAATAAGAATAAAGAGGGAGAGAGAGTTGGACCCAAATCTGGTTTCTGTCCGCCTGGACCAGTATTTGGGCCCATTTTCGTTTTGGGCCTTTGGCTCATTTGAGTCATCTGCGCCTGTCCTAAACTAACATAAAAATAAAAATATTATTTGGGCCTTAAGCCCAATTTCACCTGTCCTAAATTCTAGGAAGATAATAGATAAATGGGCTTAGGCCCAAAAGTAACAAAATACAATTTGAACTAAGAGTGGGCCCAATCTTTTCAACTTCTCGATCTGTTGCTTCTTTCAACTTCGGGACCTGTTCATCGACTTTTATAGCTGACTTGATAAAGGTGGAATTGGGCCTCCAGGGCCCAATAGGGAAATGCAAGGAAAGGAGTCCACCACGGACTCGGAAGGGATTCATACAACAAATAAAAGAGGCAACATTAGTATTCGAAATAACAAAACAAATGAGACATAATTCGATGAGACGGAATTTAATTACAATGAAAAGTCACTCAAGAAATCCAAATTAGACCGAAACATACAACCCCAAAAAATCAAATGAACCAAATTAACGATGACGAGATTAATGAGCGAATTGCAACATTAACAGTTGCACATATATATGAATTGTTTTACCCGAGAAAGTGCAAATTAACACATAATCCCATTTCGAGAGAATCATACAGTGGCACATGGACAACAATAATTTTAAAAGAAAAATAAAGAGAACACAATAGCACTTAAATAATTATGCTGACTAATGACACACACACAAAATGACAAAGATGGAGAAACAAAGATAAAATTGTTCATTACAGTACTCTTCAGTGATTAGAGGAAATAGGAACAATATACATATTTGTCCAAACATAGGAACTAACAAAGCATAAATCATAATATCCCCAACATGGAATAGCACAACAAAGAAAAAGTGATAACTAGAGAGGTTATAAACACCAAATAAAAAATAAGAATTGGTTAACATATACCACATTCTTCCAAAATTTTCCTAAGGGGACTAGCTAGAACTAACATTGCCAAGTCTTAACAGGGGAATACATAATAGCAAAATATAGTGTAAATATAAACACAAATAGAAAGAAATAATATCCTTATAGGATGATACTATCATACACTAACACCGAAACATGGCAAATAGTAAAGCTAAACAACTATATTTTGGCCAAAATATACCATTAAACCGAAAACTAGACTTCTAGGACAAACGAATAGCCATGAATACTGACACGCTAGTTTGAGATGCCAAAACCAAACAAATATAACAAGAAAGGGAGAGCTACCGCAACTTAATCTCAAACAATACGTAATATATCATCCAATTTCCATATTAGACAGTTTGAGAAATCATCTTTTATTTGAAGAAGAAATAGCTCATACCATCAACATTAGCAAAATGAGTGTCCATTTTGACGTCTTAAGACATCGAAAACAAAGAAATATAGATTTGAATAGAAGAATCCGACTACACTGACATAGCTTACAGAAAGACACATCATATCAAATCATCCGGAACTCAACAACAAACAATAGCAAACAAAACTAAAGCTCAACTATGGACATCAGGCTGGAACGAGAAAGATGAGGAAAATATTAAAAATGAGAAAGGGTAACACGAGGTTGAGCACTGATTATTTTTCAACAGGTTCATAACAAATAGACATAAACTAAGACAAATATGATATTTCGAAAACGACCATGACTTATTTAGACGACAAGGAAGATAAAAATCAGCAACCAACGAAACAATCTCCCAACATCTATACGCCCGTATTCAGGTCACGCTCAGGACAAAAACAAAATAAGAGAAGTTAGGATGTCGCTTTAAAACCAACAAATAAACTGAAGTACTCCCGGAACACCAACATTTGGGAAGCTCATACAGTTAAAAAGAAATCAGTCACCGACACATTAAGAACAGAGAATGCTTGAATCAACAGGTGTATTACCTTTTAGAGTGCAGGGAACTAGGACAATGACGAGTAAGGAAGCGACGGTAAATCCCACCACGCAATCACGAACGGAACAACAAACGAAAGGCCCTAGTTTACCCTCCTCTTTTTTTTCGAATGTATTTTTTATGTATTTTGTGGCTAATTGCTTGAACTACTCTCTCTGCCTTGACTCCAAATTTTTTTGCCACTAAAAAAATCTTCTCCATTTTTACAGTGAATAAAAGGGAAAATATATATGGGATCTTTAGGGTACGAAAATGGGGGGAAAAAAAATCCAATCCTGATGGGAATCAAGGTCTAATAAATTCAAACTTCAAAAAAACCTTTCACCATTTTAGGGAGACAACTTTTTCTCCGAAAAATCACCCCATTCCGAAAGAGGAATCGCGTGCTTGCTCGTTGCTGCTGCGATATTAAATGTGGATAGGGACGGGAGGAAGAAGACAATAAGAGGCAGTGTACTGCCTCTGCTCTTCGCTGCTTTCCGCGTGTTTGACGAAAAATGGACGCCGCTTGGAATCGTGAAGACGCCGCTTGGAATCGTGAAGACGCCGTGAAGCTGCCGTCTATCGCCGTTTCTGGGGAATTGCACGTTGTGATGCTGGGTTCTTTTGTGTGAAGCCAAAGGTGGGCCGGGTTAGGGGATTAATTGGTTGGGTCGGTGGGGCTGCTTGTATTGTTGTTATTATTTTATTATTGTTGTAATGTTGGTAGTGTTGTTGTATTGAATTGGACATATATGTGGGCCAGGGGTAATGTTTTGGTGGGCGGCTGATGGGTTAGGAGAATTAATAAGTGGGGCTGGGTCGGTTGGTATTATTGTATTGTTAGGAATTGTTGTGGTAGGCAATTTAAATTTAAGAATTAGCCAACTTGATCAAATTTAATAAATTTGGCTAATAATTAAATAAGACGAATTAATATTAATTAATTAACGAGTTTCTTAATCTTAACGAAATAAAATAATTAATTTAATTATAGACTAATTAATTTAACAATATAAACGACTAAATAACCAAATGTTTAAATAAAGCTAAAATCTTTTTGAGACAATTTTCGAACCTTCATAAAATATACTAATTAGACACATAATTATATAATAATTAACTTAATTATAAACTAACTATTAACTCAAAATTCCAAACTACTAAAAAAAACTAACCAAATATTTAATTAAACAAAATATTTTGAGACGATTTTTGAATATTTAAAAAGTTCAAAAGTATACACATATTATTTAAAAAATTATAAAAGTGACAAACCATTTAAACTAACTTGAAAATTTTTTTAAATTTTATAAAGTCAATTATTTTAAATCATTTGAAAATTAAGAAACTCAGAAATTTATTATTATCGGGGAGGGTCAAAATTGGGTGTCAACAAGACTCATCCGGAACATACTTCCGAAGCATAGAAACATGGAAAACTGGATGCACGGCTGTTAAACTAGGTGGCAAGGCTAACTTGTAAGCCACCTCTCCCATCCTCTCCAAAATCTCATAAGGGCCAACGAACCTAAGGCTGAGCTTGCCCTTCTTCCCAAATATCATCACACCCTTCATGAGCGATACCCGAAGCCAAACTCAATCACCCACCATGAACTCTAAGGGTCGAACCCTCCTATCAGCATAGCTCTTCTGCCTACTCTGGGCAGTCAAGAGCCTACTCTGAATCACACGAACACGCTCCATATCCTCTTTAAGAATATTAGTACCAAGGGAGTCCACCTCCGCTAAATCAAACCATCCAATAGGTGATCTACACCGCCTACCATACAGTGCCTCAAAAGGTGTCATCCCAATGCTAGAATGATAACTGTTGTTGTAGGCGAACTCTGCCAATGGCAAATGCTGATCCCATCTAGTACCAAAGTCGATCACGCAAGCCCGAAGCATGTCCTCCAACACCTGAATAGTCCTCTTAGACTGACCGTCAGTCTGAGGGTGAAAAGCTGTGCTCATGTCGAGTCTAGTGCCCAAATCATGCTGTAATGCTCTCTAGAAATGAGAAATGAATACTGAACCCCTGTCAGACACAATGGACACCGGCACTCCGTGTAACCGCACAATCTGACTAATATAAATTTGAGCCAACTTCTCCGTTGTATACCTCACTCGGACCGGGATGAAATGAGCAAACTTGGTCAGTCTGTCGACGACCACCCATATAGAATCATAACCACCCACGGTGGTAGGCAATCCAACTACGAAGTCCATAGCAATCCTCTCCCACTTCCAAGTAGGAATGTGCATCCTCTGAGTCACACCACCAGGCTTCTGGTGCTCACACTTAACCTGCTGACATGTCAAGCACCTAGCCACAAACTCTGCAATATCCCTCTTCATCCCACACCACCAATAGTGCTAACTAAGATCATGATACATCTTCGCTGCTCCGGGATGAATAGAATACCTAGAATAATGAGCCTCCTCAAGAATCAATCTGATCAAATCACCAACCTTGGGCACACATATCCGGCCCTCAATCCTCAATACACCCTCGGAGTCAATCTTAGCCTTCTTGGCTTCACCACTCATCACCTTGTCCCGGATGAGACATAACTTCCCATCCTTATACTGATGCTCTCTAATCTGCTCCATCAAAGATAAGCGGGCCTCAACGAAGGCAAACACACATCCACTCTCCTCAGAAACCCAAAATCTCACCATGCTGTCAAATAACCTCTAAACATCCCGAACCAAAGACCGCCTCTCAACACTAATCGCGGCAAGACTCCCCATACTAGGAGTCTTTCTACTCAAGGCATCGGCCACCACATTGGCCTTCCCGGGGTGATACAAAATGGTCATGTCGTAGTCCTTGAGCAACTCAAGCCACCTACGCTGTCTCAAGTTCAGATCCCGCTAAGTGAATATGTATTGTAGGCTCCTATGATAAGTAAATACCTCGCAATGAACACCATATAGGTAATGTCTCCACAACTTAAGCACAAACACCACAGCCGCCAACTCCAAATCATGAGTGGGGTAATTTCTCTCGTATGCCTTCAGCTGTCTAGAGGCATAGGCTACAACCTTACCCTTCTGCATCAAAACACCTCCAAGTCTAACACCCGAAGCGTCATAATAAATAGTAAATCCAACACCCTCATCTGGCAAAGTCAAGACATGTGCTGAAGTCAATAGGGATTTGAGCCTTTGGAAGATCGCCTCACACTCGGGTGACCAATGAAAAGGAATCGTCTGCTGAGTCAATCTGGTCAACGGCGCAGCTATAGTAGAGAGTCCCTGAACAAAACGCCGATAGTAACCCGCCAAGCCAACAAAACTCCGAATCTCGGTAGGTGATGTAGGTCTAGTCCAACCCTGAACCGCCTCAATCTTGGCCGGATCAACCCTAACTCCATCTTTAGAAACCACGTGCCCTAGGAAAGCCACTGACTCAAGCCAAAACTCACACTTAGACAATTTAGCATACAATTTCTTATCTCTCAACTTCTGTAGCACGACCCTCAAATGACAAACATGATCCGCCTCGGTCTTGGAATATACCAAGATGTCATCAATAAACACAATCACGAAGGAATCCAAGTATGGGCAAAACACTCCATTCATCAACTCCATGAACGTCGCAGGGGCATTGGTGAGCCCAACTGACATCACCAAAAACTCATAATGACCATATCGTGTGCGAAAAGCTGTCTTCGCCACATCTGAAGGCTTAATCCTCAACTGATGATACCCAGATCTCAAGTCGATCTTAGAGAACAAGGCTGACCCCTGAAGCTGATCAAACAAGTCATCAATACGGGGAAGGGGATACTTGTTCTTCACCGTTACCTTGTTCAACTATCTATAGTCAATACACATCCTCATCGACCCATCTTTCTTCTTCACAAATAAGACTGGTGCACCCCAAGGCGACACACTAGGGCGTATGAATCCTTTACTCAATAAGTCCTGAATCTGATCCTTAAACTCCTTCAACTCAGCTGGAGCAATACGATAAGGTGGAATAGTTATGGGCTTGGTGCCCGGCTCCAAGTCAATAGGGAAGTCAATATCACGAACAGGAGGAACACCAGGTAGATCCTCGGGAAACACATCAGGGAACTCCTGAACCACCGGAATAGACTTCATGGCCGGTGACTCAGCTCCAACATCCCGAATAAAGGCCAAATAAGATAAACAACCCCGATCAATCATCCTCTGAGCCCGAATATAAGATATGACCCTGTTGGGATACGAACCACTAGTCCATCTCCACTCCACTCTAGGAATACCCAGAATAACTAAGGTGACAGTCTTAGCATAACAATCAAGAAGCGCATGATAGGGGGAAAGCCAGTCCATACCCAATATGACATCAAAGTCTAACATATCAAGAAGAATCATATCCACCCAAGTCTCATACCCCGATAAGACAACAAGACAAGATCGATATACTCGATTCACCACTAAGGGTTCACCTACGGGTGTAGAGACTCTAATAGGCACAGACATACGATCACAAGTCAACTCAAGGCCGGAAGCAAAATATGTAGACACATATGAGAATGTAGAACCAGGATCAAATAACACGAAAGCAGGCCGATGACAAATCGAGACGATACCTGTGATAACTGCATCAGAAGCCTCAGCCTCGTGCCTCCCAGGAAATGCATAACACTGGGCACCTCTGCCCACACTTTGTGAACCTGAAGCGCCACTAGCACCTCTACCCGAAGCTCGTCCACCTCAACCAGATGTCGGTCCCCGACCCCAACCTCTAGCCGGAGGTGCTGAATCTCTCTCTGGGATCGCGGAGACAGTACGGTGTTGTCCAGACTGAGTCTGATGTGGACACTGACGAATCAAGGGGCCTGGATCACCGCAACCATAACAAGACCTCGATGTGGATCCTGACTGTGAAGAACCCGAAGTAATGCTATAACCACCTCGACCCGAACCTGAAGGACCCCGAGCTGCTGGCCCACCCTCGATAGCTGGTAATGAAGCATGTACTGGCCTCTGACGCAGGAAGGACCCGCCTCCCCTGTGTGGGCCCCTACCTCCTGACGAGGTACCCAAATACTGACCACCTCTACGGACTCTCTTGGGCCCACCAAAATCATCCCGCTCAAGCAACTCAGCCTCTCTGGCTGCACTCACTATAGTCTGGAAAGAAGCACCCTCTCGAGATGATCTAAACATATAGCTACGGATAGTGGGAGTCAAACCCCTGACAAATCTGCGAATCCGCTCAGGCTCACCCGAAATCAAAGAAGAGGCATGTCTCGACAACTGACAGAACCGAGCCTCGTAATCTGTGACTGACATGCTACCATGCACCAAACTCTCAAACCTCATACGGCTCTCCTGTACACTCCAAGGGATGAAACGACCCTCGAAGGGACTAGCAAACTCACTCCACTCCCTGAGAGGAGATCCCGCTGGTCTCGAACTCATGAAGCTCCTCAGCCACTCCTTAGCGACACCGCGTAACTGAAGAGACACAAATTGGACGCCCCTCTCATCTAACATGCGTACCGCCGCCAACATCTCTCGACTCAAAGTCAAAAACTCGTGAGCATCATCAGTCTTAGCACCATGAAACTGAGGTGGTTTCATTTTCTGAAACCGCTCATAGCAGACCTGGTCATCATCTGCCAAGGCCACCTCAAGGGCCGCCGGTGCACCTACAACCGGTGCTGGAACCTGTGGTGGCTGAACCACCGGCTCTGTAACCACTGGAATGTGATGCTGATAACCAGAGGCCTGTGCCCCTACCCCAGCCTGTAACCCCGCTGGTATACCTGCTGCACCCTGAGCAAGACGCTCCAATAACCCTAACATCCTGTCGAGTCTGTCATCATGAACTGGGGGTGCATGGCCCGCAAGAGCCTGCTCTGTAGATACTCCAATCTGTGGCTCAGGTGAAGGCTCTCTACCTCGGCCTCGGGCAGGTGCCGCTCCTCTGGCACAGCCTCGACCACGCCCTCGGCCTCTAGCCCGACCTCTACCCCTAGCTGGGGCCTCAACTCTGACCTCGGGGGCTTTCTCCCCCCTAACTCCGGTAGCTCTAGTCCATGGTATCAGAGCCCAGGTTCGAAGGTCTCACATGTACAAACCAAGTCTTAGTAGAGTCTTGAGGATTGGTACGGAGACGTCTGTACTTATCTTCGAGAGGCTATGAAGACTGTTAGGAAAAACTTCTTTTATTTCATTCTGTTCTTATCGTATGAGGTTGTTATCGTGGGTGTTGAGTATCGCGTGATGTCTATTCTAGAACTTTACTATAAAACTTGTATATTTTATTCAGATTCCGTATTAGAGGTTTGTACATGTGACAACCAATTCTAGGGTTATGTTGAGTTTATTTAAAGACTTCCGCTTATCTTTCTATCTTATTCTTGTTTTATTAATTCTGTATCGTCGGGTTATTGGGTGTTAGGCTGACGTGTCCGGTGGGGTTTGGGCACGTGCCATCACATCCAGTTTTGGGGTGTGTCAAATGCGATGCAAATGCAATAATGATGTCATGTAGTCGTGATGCATGTGTGTCCTAAGATACACATCTGTTGACGTAATCAGACCGCGCTGAATACTCAAATCAGAACCCATGGGGGTCACACATGGACCATGTATCACCGCCGGAACCAGATCCCATCGGCATCCAAATCGCTAGCCGGAGCTAGTCCATCTCATATATCTCTAGCCGGAGCTAGTCTCAACTGTGTCTCATATCCATCCATCCTCATATCAGTGTCTCAGAACTCATGCAACAGATAGTTCACACATGGGATGAATAATGAATATGCACATGTCATCAATCACAATCATATCACGATCACATCATAGTATTACACATCATTTGTCTCAATCACAACCATATCACGACCACATCATAGTATTACACATCGTCTGTCTCAATCACAACCATATCACGACCACATCATAGTATCACACATCATCTGTCTCAACATCAATGTCTGTATCAATCATAGCCTACTCATGCCCTTCTATCCCCTCAATATCAGTTATCACATGACTTATTCAACAAATTCAAGTCACATATAACACATTTAGCTCGTTTTATTCCCCATCTTTCAATTACAACAATTTCAATCAACAAATAAAACTCATCCTCAATCCCCATTACTTCCCAACACAATTAGGAAAGTAGTCAAGTGTAGTCTAAGAGTTTAACAAAGTTTAGAAGTCACTTGCCTCAAAACACTTCAACTAGTAACTCAAATCTGAGTTTTACCCTTCCGAGCACGCTCCAAATCACCACAATCTATTCATAAATGGAATCCCACAATCAATACGAATCTAACAACACCAATATCGTGAAATTTGGAGAAAAAGGATAAAATGGTCAAAAAATCTCGTTCCGAAAAATATTCTCGAAATTTGGAAATTTTTAGTGAAAAATGTTCCCCAAGAAATTTAGAATCCAATAGTGAAAACCGTTTCGAAAAAGGAGTTGAAATGAGTTCACAAACTCAAATTTTCTATTAAATTCGGATTAGGCAAAAACCCCCAAATTTTACAGTTGAGATCTCAAATTTTGATGTTAAAATCCATAAATAATCGATGAAAATCAAAGATATAAGTTGGAAATAATTTACCCAATGAATTCCTTGCGAAAATCCATTTGAAATCGCCTATTTTCGAGCTCTCAAAATCTAAAAATGGAGAAATGGGTATTTTCAAGTTGTGGGAATTTAGCTACTGATTTTTGACTAAAAAAAGGGCTGCTGTTGCAGCTGAAACACAACAATAACCCCAAAGTTTAAGTCCCCGTTGGACCCTCGGGATTCGTTCGGAATCTCGTGCACACAAACTAAATGTGTACCCCCACTAAATTCGACGTTCCGGACTCAATGGAACCGTTAGAATTTGAATTCGAGGACTCCTTGACCCGAAATTCAATAAGATGCCAAGAAACTAGTTTAACGCCAAAAATATTCGAAACTCAAACGGAGCGTCTAAAAATTCAACCAAGACTCATTCTAGACTTAGAATCGCCTCCCGAAACCAACGGTACTCTCGGAATTTCAATCTGAGCCTCGGAACCTCATATGTTGACCAAAGTCAACTCTTTATCAAAATTTCACAACTTTAGCAACTTAGGACCTCAATTCTTCGTTTCAACTCCAAATTCAACTCCGTAACTTCACACAGACCCGTTTCGACATTCTAAAACTGCCGGAATCGACGGAAATCCGATCCGAGTCCCGAAACTCCAAATGACTCGAAAAAGCACTTTTTAACCAACTTTAACTCGTAAAAAACTCAACTTCTCAAAAACTCAACTTTTTACCAATTTTTCCTCAAACCAACTTTACAACCACAAAACATGGGACTCGGGGCAACTACCGAAAGGGCAAAATAGTCATTTCCACGAAAAATCACCAAAATGACCTTTCGGGTCATTACATGCTGCAATATAGTTTTCTCCAAATTTAAAATATAAATTATCAATAGAACAAGTAAATTTTTTAGCTTTGAATAAGAGAGAGATGTAAGATTAGAAAAGAGAAAGTGAGAAGAAATAGAAGGGAGGAGGATAAAATATATAAAAATAAAATTAGTAAAGAAAATGAGGTAAAAAAAAAAAAGATAACTTGTAAGTTAAAAAAAAGTACACAACTTTTTATGGGAAAGTTAAAAAGTCATAGTCATATCTATGACTATCACTTCATTTAGCCGTTTACACTTATTGACTTAGCTCTAACAAAAAAATTTTAAAAAAATTTAATCTTTCCTAATTAACTAAAAAATGGGGCCTTTGCATTTATTGTCTTAGTTCTAATATATATTTTTTTAATTTAATCCTACCTAATTAACTAAAAAATGGGGCCCCCTAAAATTGGGGGCTAAGGCCAAAGACTTTTTTACAAGCCTTGCCAGCAGCCCCTGATTTGATGTGCAAAGCAAAATAGACCTCTACGCTTAAAAGGAAGTAGAGGACTAATATAGGAAAAAAGGACTATCCAAAATTATTACTTCAATCATTTCAATTGACGTAACATCATTTAATTAGGTATAGACTTAGGTATTAAGAAAAGAAAATGGAAAGTTTTGAAATTAACGATCCAAAATAATTTTAGATATTTATGTAGATGTAAATCTTCAATATCATATAAATGACAGAGAAAACACTACTGATCATATTCAAATAAACATGTGCTTTTTGAATGGGTTAGAGAAGATCTTAAAACACTACTGATCATATTCAAATAAACATGTGCTTTTTGAATGGGTTAGAGAAGATCTTTAGGCAAAAATGGATAAGGGAAAAAAATCAAACAATAATCACCACAACATGAAATATTATGATACTTTACTTCCTCAATTTTTAAGATAAAATATATTATTTTGATAACTAATAATTTTATTTCAGTAATCATAAAGAATAATATATTACAAATTCGTTGCTCAAATATTGTTGTAAATTCCAATGATAAATTAGTTTGACTCAACGATCAAGAAATTTGACATACTCTTTAACACATATAGATGAGCCAAGAAAACAATCTTTTACAATCGAAATTTAATCAAAAGATTAGACTCATACAAATGTCAAGCTAACATTGCAATTCAATTATAAACTAAGAATTAAATAGATTATTCGTATGAAAACAACAAACAACTCAGAAATATGATTATATTGGACCGAGGAAGATTTTACCGCAATAAAATTTGAATCTCACTAAAGTGGGTGAAATATCATTTTATGAAAGAATATATTATCTTTTCTATTTTACAACGGTAATTGCAAGTATTTTCATAGGCAATTCTTAAAAGTTAACACTAAATTATTCATTTTGCTTCTCACATTAAACATTAAAAACTAAATTAGAGCTTACAAAAATCAAATTCCTTAGATACATTAAAATCAAATAAGTTCTATTTTGGGATCATTATACAAACAAGCGACATAAGGGTCAATTACTCGGCTGGAAGCCTGGAATATATATATATATATATATATATATATATATATATATAATATTATATATATATATATATATATTATATATATATATATATATATTATTATATATATATATATATTTTAAATCAAATAAGTTCTATTTTGGGAAAAAACTACTTATTCGAGGAAAATACAAAAACACATGATAGGAGTGTAAAAATATATCGAAACTAAAACTTGTAATGTTGATGTAATTTATATATTTACTATAAGTAATAAAGTTGATTTCGATATTTCGCTATCATGCAAAGCGTGGACAAATTAATTAGTATTATTCACCATAGCAGTATTGTAGTACATAAATACAAGTATATACTCACAAGGAGTATACATATTTATTCTATTAGTAAGCTAATCAATTAAATTAAATTCAGACACCACAATAGGTCTTCAAAGCAGATTCACATTCCATGCCTTCTTCAGTATAGCTGAAAGCAATGAATTCAAGATGAGTAAAGGGCTTATAAAGTAAAGGGTGTTCTTCATCTACTAGCTCTTTTGGTGCCTTTATCATGTATCCAGCTTTAGGTATTGACCAATAACTGATCCAAACCGACCAGTGAACACCACTATCAGTAACCTAAAGAATAAGACATGTTAGTTGTCATAAGTAATTAAAAAGTAAGTGCATATCATAATTTATTTATTTTATATTTAAATCTTGAATATCCTTGATCAAATTTCTGGTTTTACAACAATTTTTATTTTAATGAGTTGAAAGAGCTTACATGTAGTGAGTCTCCAATTAAGACAATAAATGTGTCTGGTGTAGGATCAACATTGATCCACTGTCCATGTTTGGTCAAAACTTGAAGACCATTCACTTGATTTTGGTATAATATGGTAATATTGCTCTTGTCTGTGTGAGAACTTAGTCCCATCTCATTCTCGCTGCTTTGAGGTGTTTTATACTTCATCAATCGAAGAAGGTAATTAGTCGAATTCATATGCTCATCCATGTAATTTTCCACCCCTAAACTCTCCAAAATCATTCTCCTTATCGTTTGGTCTAACTCTGATAGTTGCTCTGAGTATGACTGAACAGTTTTACTGCCAATACACATAAAAATTAAAAAGACTTTTCAACTTTGTGGTTTTAAATTTAAGTTATGTCAAATGTACAAAAATGCCCTTTAATATTGTGGCATGAAACATGCTACATGAAAAATTGAAATTAAAATGTTACTAAAAAAGGAAATGGTCATTTGTTTTTTAAACAGACTAAATATGAAAGTAGCTAGGTCATTCTTTTTCAAACGGGGGAGTAAGAATAAATGGAGAAGATTAATGTTTTACCAAAAAGAAGTATTTCCTTGAGGCCATAGAATTTGAGTGAATTTTTCAGCTTTATGTGGGATGTTAGCATCATCAATGCCCATGCTTTCATATAGTGGAATTGAAGGGTGACAGAATCCAACATAGCCATTGAAGGGTTTGGTTCTAATGCTTTTAAGTTTGGTTTGTGAAGGGAGATCAAAAAGCTCTTGTGAGGATTCAAAAATGGATTTTCTAAGATGTATTGGAAATTTATCAAAGGAAGCTTCAAAACAACCATATTCTACTAGAGCTTTGTGGACTTGGCTTTTCACTTGGTTCCATACAAGTGTGTGTGGCTTTAAGTCTTCATGAGAAAAGTCTATTTTTGGAAGTTTGATGTTTTTAGAATCCATATTTATTTCTTGGATAAGAGATTTTTGTTGTATGATTGTTATGCTTAATTCCATGCGTGTAGCTAAACCTATTTAAAGAAATTGGAATAAGACAATGCTTAAATGTGGTGTATAAAGGTATCAAAACTTATTTAAATTTTAATTTGATAAATTGTAATAAAAAATTTCATATTCAATTGGAATGGCTTAAACGTCCAACCCTATTCTTAGGTGGGCCTGTAAGGATATCAAAAGATTGAATAAGCTAAAGTAATATGTTTATTTAATAATATTCTTAAAATTAGATTTTCCTAATTGATTCTTTACTCTGATTTCAAATTATGTATCATCTCTTTTTTATCTTATGATATATCTATACTGGCAACACATTATTCAATTGTTGAAGAAGCCAATTGTTCACTTTTAAAGAATGAAATTTAAAAAGATAAAATTATTTGTGAAAGTAAACAAGTGAATGAATGTATTTATCAGCTCTCTAAGATATAAGTAATATAGTAAGTATGTTGAATAAAGTGGCATATATGTGTACTGACGTTAATGTACTTTTTACCAATTAATTATGTTTTAGCTTTCCTCAGAATTATTTCTAGTATTAAAAAAATTCAATTATCTCACAAAATCTCTTCCATTTATGGATATTTTTTTAAAATTTTTAATGTACATCGTTATTAACAATGTACTACTTTTAGAAACATTTATAAATGAACCATTCTATTAAAAACTTGATTATGACTTGTACCAAATATTTGGTGTGCAAACACAAACAAACATACCTCTACGCTTTAAAGGAAGTAGAGGACTAGTATAGCAAAAAGGACCATTCAAAATAATTTCTCTCTCGTCTTTATTTTTGTGATACCATTTAAATATATAGAGAGTTTTTATTTATTTTTTAAAAAATAAGCTTTTGAAAAGCATGGACATAAATTATAAATATTCAAAATTGGGATAATTCGTGCAAAAACTGATTTGTCACCGCAAATGAAAATTATTCTTTTGAGTTGTATATTTTCGTAAGAAGTCCTATGAAAAAAGTAAGGTTGTTCATGGTTATAAAATCAAATCGAATAGCAATTCGAATCAAATCGATTAAAAAAATTGATATTTGATTTGATTTGGTTAGGTTTGATTTTAAATTTTGAAAAATCTATCCTCTTTGGTTTGATTTTGATTTTACTAAAAATTAACCGCAAAAATAACCAAACCGAACCGAGAAGTTATATATACATAAATTTTATAATTATTTCTAAATAAAATATAAGTATTTTGATAAATTTTAATTAACTATTCTTTAATTTTACTATTTTTGAGGCCCAATACTTAAATTTTAGCCAACTATTAAACCCTTAAGTTTAAATCAATCAATATAGCCTATTAGCTAGGCTAATGAATTGTGCAAACTAATGAGATGCATCTGACTGTATATTGTTGTTGTCATTTGAAGAATTATGACATTAGGTCCTTAAGGAGGTATATTAATTGATGTTTAGATCGAGTTTTTATGTATTGTGGTTGGAATAAGAAATTATTAAAGCAATTTGACATGAATACTTTATTTTTATGTTCATTTTCGTAAGAAAAACAAATTCAACTTATAAGCTCAAAACTAAGAATTCGAAATAATCAAATAGATTATATTTGAAATCAAACTTAAGAATACTAAATGAATCAAAATTCATTTGAATTGCATTTGGATTTTAGTTTCATAAATCTAAAAAATCTCAATCGAATTTTTTCATACTTAATCTGAATGACATGAACGCGTAATTCTATTTCAGGTGGGCTTGTATGGATATAAAAAGATTGAGTAGGCTAAAGTAGATCTTCTTAAATGCTTCATCACTCTGATTCTATAGCTAATTAATCTCTAAAAATTAAATAATATATTTATAATGACAGCACATTATTCAATTGTTGAAAATCCTACTGCTCTTTTACAGAATTAAATTTAAAAGATAGAATTTTTTGTTCTTTATCTCTATTAGTCTTTTTAAACGTAAAAAAAAAAAAGTTCTTTCAATATTATCCAAAAATATTGTGAATTTCAATTGATTAAAATGTCTAGATGAATGATGAAATGTGTAATTCATCGGCTATATAAAATACAAGTTGTTCATTAATTCAACGATAAGTAGCCCTACCTAATTTATAACAACGTTGCTAAACAAATTAAGCTTCTAAGGTATAGTTACTAGGCATAGTTTGGACAAAATTGAAATACAATATTTTTTTATTTTTCGGTTTGAATTTTAAACTACAAATTGAATTTTGGATTTTTAGATATCTTAAAATCTAGAGAAGTCTTATACCTTGTATCTAATTTAACGATTATGCATAAGCCCATATACCTAATACTAAGTTCAATATAGCTAATTAGTAGAGGCGTATCCAGGATTTCGGCTAGATGGGTGCACAATTACGAAAAAATATATTTTAAATATAAATTTGATCAATTTGACTTTTAGTTCGTATATGAACCATTAAATTTTAAAAATTATAGGTTCAAAATGTATAATACTATTAGTTTTAAATTTTAATATACACATTTGATTTAATTATATAAAAAATTTACAATGTTAAATTTTTTAGGAATTTTCAATGTAACACACTTGAAAATTTTGAAAGATTAAAGGAAAAAAACAAAAGCAAAATTAGCTGAAACGTCAAAAGTGTAGCCGATAACCACTTGGAAATGTGTTACTCACAGAGACAAGATAGATATAAGATTTAAATTTATATCCTCACTTAGAGAGGTGCACCCAATCATCATCGCATTATTATATGATATTCTTAAAACATGGGTTCACACATCTATATTTAAATATTTTTTTAAAAATATAACACTACTATACATGATCTAGAGAGGGGATCATGGGTTCACGTTGTCACACCCCAAAACTGGATGTGATGGCACGTGTCCAAACCCCGCCGGACACGTCAGCCTAACACCCAAAAACCCGACGATACGGAATTAATAAAACAAGAATAAGATAGAAAGATAAGCGGAAGTCTTTAAATAAACTCAATGAAACCCCAGAATTGGTTGTCACATGTACAAACCTCTAATATGGAATCTGAATAAAATATACAAGTCTCATAGTAAAGTTCTAGAATAGAACAAAACAATAAATATAGATAACTTGAGGGCACGTCTGAAATGAACTGCTACCTCTCAAGTAAGTCTGGAAACTCTAATCTGAAGATGAGTAATAAGTCGGATTGATAGAGCTGTCAACCTACACAACTGTGTAGAAGCAAGGGTAAGTACCAAAAGCAACAGGTACTCGCAAGTAACACTAAACTAAGCTAAACTAGCAGCTACAAACAACTCCTTTCAATACCAACCGAACCACCGAGACTTCATTCTAACAGCGAACCAACAACCTATACTACACAATTCATAATCAACAGATATATCCAACAGTGTCTCAACATCAACCTCATATCCTCATGTAAGAGCAAATAGATCATATATCACATGAAGAGGGGCAAATAGGTAAAATCCACACACCACAGACAAAGATGAAGTCAAATGCGATGCAAATGCAATAATAATGTTATGTAGTCATGATGCATGTCTGTCCTACGATACATATCTGTTGACGTAATCAGTCCGCGCTGAATACTCAAATCAGAACCCATGAGGGCCACACATAGACCATGTATCACCGCCGGAACCAGATCCCATCGGCATCCAAATCGCTAGCCGGAGCTAGTCCATCTCATATATCTCTAGCCGGAGCTAGTCTCAACTGTGTCTCATATCCATCCATCCTCATATCAGTGTCTCATAACTCATGCAACAGATAGTTCACACATGGGATGAATAATGAATATACACATGTCATCAATCACAATCATATCACGATCACATCATAGTATTACACATTATTTGTCTCAATCACAACCATATCACGACCACATCATAGTATTACACATCGTCTGTCTCAATCACAACCATATCACAATCACATCATAGTATTACACATCGCCTGTCTCAATCACAACCATATCACGACCACATCATAGTATTACACATCGTCTGTCTCAATCACAACCATATCACGACCACATCATAGTATTACACATCGTCTGTCTCAATCACAACCATATCACGACCACATCATAGTATCACACATCATCTGTCTCAACATCAATGTCTGTATCAATCATAGCCTACTCATGCCCTTCTATCCCCTCAATATCAGTTATCACATGACTTATTCAACAAATTCAAGTCACATATAACACATTTAGCTCGTTTTATTCCCCATCTTTCAATTACAACAATTTCAATCAACAAATAAAACTCATCCTCAATCCCCATTACTTCCCAACACAATTAGGAAAGTAGTCAAGTGTAGTCTAAGAGTTTAACAAAGTTTAGAAGTCACTTGCCTCAAAACACTTCAACTAGTAACTCAAATCTGAGTTTTACCCTTCCGAGCACGCTCCAAATCACCACAATCTATTCATAAATGGAATCCCACAATCAATACGAATCTAACAACACCAATATCGTGAAATTTGGAGAAAAAGGGTAAAATGGTCAAAAAATCTCGTTCCGAAAAATATTCTCGAAATTTGGAAATTTTTAGTGAAAAATGTTCCCCAAGAAATTTAGAATCCAATAGTGAAAACCGTTTCGAAAAAGGAGTTGAAATGAGTTCACAAACTCAAATTTTCTAGTAATTCGGATTAGGCAAAAACCCCCAAATTTTACAGTTGAGATCTCAAATTTTGATGTTAAAATCCATAAATAATCGATGGAAATCAAAGATATAAGTTGGAAATAACTTACCCAATGAATTCCTTGCGAAAATCCACTTGAAATCACCTATTTTCGAGCTCTCAAAGTCTAAAAATGGAGAAATAGGTATTTTTCAAGTTGGGGGAAAATGGCTACTGTTTTTTTGACTTAAAAAGGACTGCTATTGCAGCTGAAACACAATAATAACACCAAAGTTTAAGTCTCCGTTGAACCCTCGGGATTCGTTCGG